AACTCGTGATGGCGTCCGTAAAATTTACGAATGGATGATTTCAACTTCACCACTTGGAACTCTTGGTTTAATAGCTTCTTTGTGAGCAGCAACCCTCAATCAAGGAAATCATGATAGGAAATACAAGCCCTGGAGTATCGTATAAACTGGGAGATATATACTCCGTACGCAGGCGCTGCTGGAATGTTGCTACATAAAAATGGAAAGTTCATAATTTGACCGATGGAATCCCGTACACACCAACACAAGTAAATAACATCACCGATTATTTTAAGAGATTAGCACATTTACAAAACCTACAGAAAATGTAAACAACAAGACTAGTATAGACCTCCAAGATGAGCATCACTACACATAAAAATGGAACATATTATCATAAAGACCAATACAACCTCTAAATAAGGAAATATTTACTAAATTTTATCATCGGTACAAGGACATCATTCAAAATATGAATCAACGTGCAGATATCTTATACGTTCAGGAATTTCACATCCCATCTTTTATGGTAATATTCTATACAAAGCTCAAAAATGAGGTCATTCACCTCAAAAGCTAACCAAAGCTTTTTCAGAAATATAGTTTCGATATTGTTGTCAGGCCATTAGAGAAGGCATTTTTTAAAATTAATATTGATTCACTCATAGGTTTTTTTGCATGGGAAATAAACACATTTATTCTAAAACCAGTTTTTGGCATGATACGTTCTTATATCGTAGATCATATTTTATGATGGTATGATAAAGGGATTGTGCTTGATTTTCGTATGATGAAGACATAATCTTTTGATCAGTTTAATTGAGGTCTGGAGCTGGCATGTCAGTGACTGCTAGTAGTCCTTTGTTAATTTATGTTGATTATTGTCATTTTGCTTAGTTTCTTCTGTTACCTATTCTTACATCGAACTCAGTCTTCTTTTAAACTGAATGTTACTGTGCGTATTGCTGTGTGTTTATTTATTCCACATTGGCTAGAGGTATAAGGGGAGGGTTGAGATCTCACAAAACATATTTAACCCCACCACATTTTTGCGCCTGTCTGGCCTATGTTAGTGTTGTGTGTTTTTAAAATTTTGGTTCATTTATATGTTTCGGCGTTTAGTGTGACGTCCATTTTCGCTAAACTAGTATATATATACATTATTGTTTATTGGCCAGCTGAATCCCGCCTCTAGGTGAGGGATTTTCTCGCTGTGTTGAAGACCCATTGATGGCCTTGGGCTGTTTTCTGCTCTTTGGTCGGGTTGTTGTCTCTTTGACGCATTCCCCGTTTCCGTACTCAATTCTAAATGTCAACAGCAAACAAGACCGATATAAGCTAGGGGACATTTGATATTATGTTGCTGCATGCTTATTTTTTTCCACGTCTTTGCCACTGGCAATTTATTTTCACGTTTGTACACAATTGTTTCATGCATTTTGTGTTGCAGAATATTCATTTTCATCCTGTCTTATTCAAGGTTATTTTTTCAAATTTTGTTCAAGTCTAAAGACATCAAAATATGTTAACAACAGACCAATACATATTCTAGGAAATAAACAGTATTACAAAGACACCAGAACGTGAGTAACATGGCCAATATAAAATCTTAAAGATTTGTACAAATACACCTACACATGTGTACGGTAAGACCAATAAAGCCTCTTAAAGATTATCAAATAAATGTTTGGATTTTCAAATAGTTTGGCCTCGAGCATCACTGAAGAGCCAGTGATTGTTGAAATGCGCATATAGTGCAGTAACATTAGTACCATTAACGTTATAAACAAAGACAACCCGCACATTCAAAGACTAGACCAATGTAACCTCTATACTCTTAGTATGACTTAGATGGTTACAGTAGATTACCGATGTTAAATCTCATAAATCGATTAAAAAGTATGGTAACAAACAAAAACAGGGAATCGCATGAAGTCAAGGGGAACGAGACCGGTGCGTCGACTGGGTAAGCGTCTAATGTTAACAACTATAAAAGAAGCATTAGACTAATATAACCTTTTAACACATACTTAGCATTAATATGATAGTTTTTGCATATGCGTAACAAGCGGAAGTAAACTAGCTGTAAATTCACACCCAGGCTGATAACCCTTAATAGTCCTATTTGACCTCACGTGGTCGGGACGATATGGTATTATCATCCTGGGTGCGTTTGTAACTTGGCTGCGCTCACTCCCCAAAAAGGTTCACATTGTGGCTCGCGGCTGATATTTTACGATATCAATTGTGTAGAAACCCCATAATGTATACTACTGATACAATTACAAAGACATAAACAGATGGGGACAACATACCAAACCGACATTAAATTTAAAAGAGTTACATAAACAACCAAAATAAATACACAAAAAACAAAAACTGCAGACTATTAAGCTTGGGCAATACGAACTTCTCTAGCAGTGATATCAAGTACGGAGAGAAATGAATATACCCTGTCACAGAGAGAGAGAGAGAGAGAGAGAGAGAGAGAGAGAGAGAGAGAGAGAGAGAGAGAGAGAACTGCATTTATAGAACATTAAAATGGACAATATGAATCTATTATTGCTCTTCAAGAAAACAGATAATGCTATCAAATGATACATATACAGAATTGCTCCACACTATATAGTCCAGATAGTTAACACACTTGTAAATGGATGAAAGCAAATGTAAAATGGACATGCATCATGTAGTATTAAAGTACTGACTGGATGATTGACTCGTGGGCTAGCTGTTCACCGGCAACGGAGTCAACTTAGTGGGCATACACACAACACATTAGAAAAAACAAAAGTTGATGCATTCGAAGGACTTTTATAGATCAACTTCATTTAGCATTCTCAAAAGTTGGAGGGCCTAAAGAGGTGGAAATACATTATAAAGTATATTGCGCAAAACAATTATAACAAGTTAAATGCGAAAAATGCATTTAATTCTCATACAAGTAAAAACTCATCTATGTCAAAGAGAAAGTATATATAAAGTTTCTAATGTATTTTGTTTAACCTTTTTTTACTATCAAATAATGATTATTGTTGAGGTATGATGACTTGGTTGTAATATCTTCAATATTAAGATTTATCCTGCAATCGACCTTTCTACTACACAAATACAGGTGTACAGATAACAACAAATTTAACAAAAGTACTGAACTCCAAGGCAAATTAAAAAAGGGGGAAATCTATAAAAACTGACACAATCAAACGCTATCAATCTACGGAACATTTAAAAAAAAAATGCCATATTCATGACTTGGTACAGGCATTTTCCGAAGAAAACGATGGGTTAAACCTATTTTTATAACTAGCTAAACCTCCCACTTATACGACAGTTGTTTATATAGTTCAGTTATATTGACAAAATTGGGTGAACAAGCGAAAGTCTCCTGGTATCTTCCTTCTGTTGCGAGCGAACGGTAATGTTCAAATTACTGTTTGCATCACAGTTCAATCTGGGGTCATCATTGCGGTCCGCGTTTAAGTCGTGTCGATTTCATTTACAAAACAAATTTAATGATTGGGATGGTAAAAACTATACATTTTAGCTCAATGTTCAATTGCAGGATAAAAACAATATTCGTGGTACAGTGTAGGAAAATATAAAATGTGCATTCGCTAAAAAACAGGAGAGAAGCTCGACAAACCTCGCTTTTCTCTCTGTTTCTTAAGTTCGCCAAATAAATTTTATATTTTCATACACTGTACGAATATTGTATATATATTTAACTGAAAGATAAAGAAATTGTCAGTAAAAGACTTCGGATCTGCCAAATTTCACAAATACTTTCGGGTCTCTACGGTCAGCACAGACGTTGTTACTTTAAAAGAATCATTATTGTTCTCTTTGCCAACCTTACAATACAAAATATATTAGAAAAAATAACAAGAGCAGAAACCATGTCGTAAAAGGTCAGAAAACACCGTGGACAAAACTAAAATCAGAAATACAAAAAGTCTACAACAATACAGTTGATACAATGTACTAGGCTGAAATTTAAAAGACTTGTCAGACAGCATTTCATCATTTCTGGTTTCTGAAATATTTAAGACACGAGAATGGACAAGCGTTTAAAATTATTTTATCTGACAGTAGCAATACCTTTCTTTACTCCATTCTTTACACTTTTTATGGGAAACTTGATATAGAGCTAGTATGTCGTCGAAATTATGAATTGGTGTTTTGTCTTTTTGTCGTTTTTTTTGTTGTTGTCATGGCGTTGTCAGTTTGTCTTCGACTTATAAATTTGAGTATCCCTTTAGTATCTTTTTCTTCTCCCTATAGAGTCGTCCAATAGGAAATGCAGTTATTTTTCAAGGCATGTATCCATTAAAGGTAAGCTAAGAAGTTTAGAAAAAAATCATATTAGGATTTTGTCTTATAAAGATTATATAATCAAAATTTATGTTGCATAGGGTTCCCATTGTTCCTATTGCGTCTTCAAAGATAATTGTTTAATTTCTTCAATCAAGGCCTAGGATTAAATTTGAACTTTGGATTATTGCAGTACATCCGTACACTATCTAAGCTTGAGGTTAATTTTATCAAATAGCAAGAGTTGGCAGATGGTTTTGAAAAAAAGCAATTTAATTCGATAAAAAAAAATTGATCAATATTGGTAGCAATAGCTTATAAGATAGAAGAGGCACACATCGGTACAAGATAAATGTGTCGTTAAAATTACTATTCGCTCAATTATTGAAGCTTATATACCTCTTGCTATTGACATTAGCCTTATTATAAGAATAAATATAGAAATCTGTAACCCCTGTGAAATCACTATATTAATGCACAATGTATTCTTTTCACCATTATATTTTGCATTTATGTCTCCATTTATGCCTGTCTGGTATGATATGGACTAATACCAAATACACACTGTTGAAATGGTCAACTTAACTGTAGAATAGTCCAGGAAATGTGTAATGCGCATAAGCATAAAAAACACAGTAATTGGTTAACAAAATATTTCCCCGAATCATAATGAACCTAATTATTATGTTAAATGAATATAGCATTGCTCCTTCTATATTTGCAGTAAGATTTTATTGTCATGTATTCGTTTAGAGGATAACATTTTATTTTGTCTAAATCTTAAAGTACAATAAACTGGTCAAATACTATATAAATTCATAGCTTTAAGCTGGGATCAGTATATCTAACAATATATATGTTCCTGCTTTAAGTGACTATTTTACGCTCGATAAATGAAGTCTAGATGTTCAACTTATTTAACTATCAAGTACCATTATTACAATTGAAACACACAAAATTAAATAAAAAATAAGGTTTCTGAAATCATATCAAACGACAACTTAAAGTTTTCTTGTAAATATCTTGTCACTTGCTTGAAAGAAATTCCAATTGTTTTATCACAAAATCATACGAAAATTTGATGCAAATTAGCAGTAAAATTATCAAACCATAGTTCAACGATCGAAAATAATCTGCGTCGAAGATTCGGTTGCATGAAAAATAAAGTAAAAAAAACTAAAATGGCAAACGAAACTTAAAGAAAGTAATTAACATTAACATTTATATACATCTTTGATATGAAATTTGCAAAGCTGTCGACAGAAGAAACTTCAACTCCGCTCTTCTATATGCACTAGGCAACTGATCATAAAACTACAGTGGCACTAGTCAAGTGTTCACGGATGTTTTCTGGCAGAATTTGTTATTTCTTTTTTATTCTTTACGCTGATTCACAAATTGGCCATTAGCATTCACCTTTCTAAAATAAATCTCAATGCTATTTCAAATAATAATTCTTTTGACAATGTTTAGTTTCTCAATAAAACAAAAACTACCAAAACAGTTTGTTACACTACTCTCTACAAAAACTGTTATCACGTGACCCTCAAGAAGTTTTTGCCTGATGGTGAACAGTTTGATAACTATCTCCCATGCACACGTCATCAATAAGTATATAATTTATCATTTCGTCACGATCGTTGTCAACATCACTGAAGATATGGCCTTTATGAGATTCGAAACTGAAAAACAGGTCAACATCATACCCCTCGTCTGAAATGTAGGCCTGAAAAAGAGAAGCAATTTGTAACTTACAGGTCAACATCATATCCCTCGTCTGAAATGTAGGCCTGAATTAGAGAAGCAATGTGTAACAAACAGGTCAATTGATACACCCTGGTCTGAAACGTACATCTGAAAAGGGAAGCAATGTGTACTTTTTAGTCCTTTTACTTTTAGTAACTAGCAGGTCAACATCATACCTTCGTCTGAAATGTAGGCCTGAAAAAGAGAAGCAATGTGTAACAAACAGGCCAACACCATCCCCCTCGTCTGAAATGTAGGCCTGAAAAAAGAGAAGCAATGTGTAACAAACAGGTCAACATCATACCCCTCGTCTGAAATGTAGGCCTTAAAAAGAGAAGCAATATGTAGCTATCAGATCAAAAGTTGAGTTGACAGACCCGTAGAGCGGAAATACTAACGACTATACTTGTCAAATGGTACACCAAATGTATATTAGAAATGATAACATGTGTCTATAGGAGACCATGCCACTCTCTCACTACCACATTTTTATGTTAAGGGAACCGCGAAATCTGGTAAGAATCCCTTTGGCATATATGTTAGACTCAGATCGACGTCCGTTCCTCTAATCGACGTCCAATGTGACGTTATCACATAACAAAAAACGACGTCTGATCGATGAGAGGTTTATAAATTTCATTGAATCATTTATTTTCAAATTGATCTTTGTTTATATTATCTGTATCTTTTTGTCTTTTTGTGAAAAAAATGAAGAAAAAAAAACACAGTATAAATTTAATGCGTCCGAAGCGCTCTTCTGGATCTACCTTCATCAAGAACTAGTAGCTTACCGAAACTATAACTGTTTTCTTTTATTGGTATCAAAATAAAAGGACATATTTGACATCAGAAATTGACAATAAGACGATCACCGACATCATTATTACTTTTACATGTACATGCATAATAATATTTTGGTGAAAGACGTTCATATTCTCGACCTACGTTGTCGTTTTCTTTTCTTGTTCATATAAACAAATAAATATGGGTATACATTGTACGACAAGGAGACAACAACCCAAAGACAAAGATAATCGAAAGCCAACTAGAGGGCAGCATATCTATAGCCCTCTACAATGCTGTACAGACTCAAACAATAGAAAGAATAAAAACGCACGGCACATTGTTGAAAAGTATTATTATTTGGTCTTATGTTTTTCATCAACGTTTGGAGTTTTAGGTTCAACCCACCCTTTAATAAAGATGAGATTTCACTGCGATATGTCTATAAAACGGACGTCGATTGGAAAAGCAAAACAATGGACGTCGATTTGAGAACAACAAAAAAGACGTCGATTAGAGGGACATAAAATTGGCCGTCGTTTTGGAATGTTATTTTATTGTGACGACAGAAAACATAATGTCTCATACTATCTATCGTACACTGAAGAAAACAAATAACGCACCTAATCAAATTTTCATGATTGGTTTTTGAAAAGTTTGATATAAAAGTGTTTAAAAAAACAACTGTTGGATTCTTTTATTTTTGCTGCAAGTCTATAAAATGTTTTTAGATTTTCTGTCTACTATTGTAGTAACTAAAATGTGTTGGAAATATTTTGAACACTAGATTGGCTGAATGTCAGCATGTCAGCTAAATCTAATTATTCAACAACTTCGTTCTTGATTGAGTAATAAATAAATGTAGAAATTATTCATCAACAAGGGTCAGATTTGATATCTTAAATCATACAATCATTAAATATTTGGACTGTAATCCGATAATCCATTAATAGAGACTTGGTAACCATGTAATCTCATTGTCGGACCTGATTCATGCAGTTTATTTGCAATTCAAAAGACATGAATATTTATAAAGTATCGATTTTAGCATCTTATTCTCAGAGAAGTACATGGTTTTAATAGAATTCATTTTAGTCCGCTTTAATTATGAAACTCACAGAGAAATTGATTATTTATGGTTTTAGATAATATTACCAAACTCTCAAGTACTTTCAGGTTAAACAATTGTTAATTTCACAAAATCTTATTTCCAATGCATATTAAAATTCGAAGAAAGATTAAACATGTCACAGAATATGCAGTAATGTAAACAGCAGGTGTTGTAGAAAAACAGAGCCGAAATGTTTTATTCAAGTTCAATACTCTTTAATCAATCATAATGTACTGCTTTTTTCAATTTTGACATTTTATATTTATATTTTAGTTTGTGTTACTTTTTACCACACAAACGTTTTTTTTTTATGGTAGATCTATATTTTGGAAATCCATACATTCATAACTGTTCTGACTATAGATACTGCAACCTAAAAGCTAGCTATTTTTATTTTTTATTTCTTTTCTATCGGACCTTACACGCTAAGGATGACACCATAACAACCCTAGAAAATCCCCTGGATATTGTTTTAGCGAGAACCAAAAGCTTTGCAGATTGTATATTTATCAAAATTATTATGGCATCATTCTGTAAATAAGGCATGTGATTTTTTTTTAATTTGGTGAATACCTTCAAGGTGCAATGCAAGTGGCTTGTCATTTATACGAAACTGTTTGTTTAACATAGGTTGTATTCAGGGGCGGATCCAGCCATTTATAAAAGGGGGAGGGGGGGTTCCTAACCCAGGATAAAAAAGGGGGGGTTCCAACCCCCGGAACCCCCTTCCCCCCTGGATCCGCCGCTGTTGTATTTAATCCTGTGAGTATTCGTAATGATTGCAAGTTGTACATTTGGTCTATTTACTCTATTTGTGATAAACTAAAAATTTGACACTTCGAATACCGGATTAACCTTCATCAGAAAACATAAGGGATGTGCTAGTATGGGTGTATCCCGTCATCTTGGATTGCTTATTACCGCAAATGGTCGAACCAGATTTTTAATAAAATAAACAAATTTGTATTCATTATTTCCACCCTGATTTTTTGTGAGGTTCGTGTTGCGCAGTCTATAGTTTTCTATTGTGTTTTGTAGACTGTGGTTTTTCGTGTTTTCCATCTATGTGTTTGAATATCCCTTTGGTAATTTTCCGCCTTCCTTTTTCTAAATTTACTGTAGGACTATTCATTTCAATTAAGTAATTCAAATGATATTTTTACGATATATCTTAAGTTTTTGATTGATTCAAGCAGTTACAAACTAAGATATCTTAGATAATTGAGTTTTATGAAAGAGTTCATCCCATTTTTTTTTTTAATTTTCTAAAAGAATATGATGTGAGCTTTAATTTTATATCTTATTTAACAATTCTATCAACTAGTTTTCATTTCAGTCACATAATAGTTCTTTTTTGTGTATCCATACAAATTAGGAAAATGTTACCAAGTATGTATCTTGAAAACAATCAGTGGTATATCTGCCTACGAATTTCTTAAATTTGGAGAGAAAAAAACTACATGATGTAAACCAATACGATAATTATTATAAGTTCTCAACGGCATAAACATTGTATGAAATTAATATAAAAGGACTGTGAATAAAATTAACCATCTGCTGGAGCCTTTATATCAGATTAAAATCTGCACTTAATCTCTACTTTGCAATGGATACCATTTTCTTGATTATAAAAAATCAATAAGAATGCATTGTCAGCTTTTCTGCATAAATATAATGCAAAGTAGGAGCTCAATAATGTTAACTTTTTGGTGAATGAGCGTAGCAAAACAGAATTTTATGATGATATTCGAGTTCTTGTTATTAATTGTTCTTCTAACAAAATACTATACAGATCATACATAGACATTTTTTTCAATAAAGATTTATATTTCATATCTAATATAACATTTGCTGATGTTGTAATATCTGGCTGTAAATAATTAACCAGTTTAAATGTACAACTTTTGATACCATACGAGATCACAGTTACATAAATGCAATACATGTACTTATCAAACTTACTGTTGTTTCTACTGGTTCGCTGTTCACCCATACATGAAAGTTGTCACGAGCTACAATAAAAAAAATACTGAGTTTAACTTGATACTATTGTTGCATACATTTTTACTATTTTCATTTTGAAATGAGTATTTACATGTAAGAAAACATTTGGGATGTTGAAACCCAATATTCATAATTTTCTGGAACCGAAATGACTTTTTATTATACAAATAGAAGGTTATTCACACTTTAAAACGGGCTTAACCAATTTACCACGGAAACACACTTTCGCATATTATTCTATCCGTATCAAACCACGAAGAAAACTCATTTGAGAAACCATTTTGTTTTCATTCAAAACCTTTCAGAATTCTTTGATAAATAAATAATTTACATTAAAAAAAAAACAGTTTGTGATCTGAAACCTAGTATTGTTTATATATGTAAAATAAAAAGTGAATACCTTTAGAAGACAGTTAAAACCATAACACCCTTGGAATTTTTTTTCAAAAACCTATAATATTTTTACTGACATGATGATTTGGACTTATATAGAAATTGTACAGCTTATCCCATGAATCCTTAAATTGCGTTAATAAATAAATGTAAAGTGATACTTTTCTCTTCTGTCTTACACAAATAACATTCATTATCCTTAAAAATATTTCTATTTTCTTTTTACTCAAATTTCTTTTACACATTATATCAGTAGCGTGTCGTTTATTCCTAAATATCTTGTCCGACATAGATACAAATTGACTTCTCACATTTTTATCTACTTAAATATTATATAGCACCTTATGTACAGTAATCATAAGAGTCATTAAAATTACTGTCACTATAAAAGACGATTTTAAAAGTGTAAATTGTGCATCAATGTCGTCCGAAATAAAAATAAAACCACTTTAAAAAGTATGAATAGTAAATTTGCCATTCCCTATTCTCAGCGTACAACAGTTAAGATGACGGTACAAATTAACCTTCTAACTAACGGTTATAATGTTTTCTCAAATCACCGTCTCAAAAACAGCTGTAATGTTATCACAAAGCACAGTCTCAAATAACAATTATAATGTTATCTCAAATCACAGTCCCAAATGACATTTATGATGTCATAACAAATCACCGTCTCAAAAACAGCTATAATGTTATCATAAATCACAGTCTCAAAAATAACTATAATGTTATTACTAATCACCGTCTCGGATAACAGTTATAATGTTATCACAAATCACCGTCTCAAAAACAGCTATAATGTTATTACTAATCACCGTCTCGGATAACAGTTATAATCATTACAAATCACCGTCTCAAAAAAAAGCTATAGTGTTATTACTAATTACAGTTTCAAAGCATCTATAATGTTACAACAAATCGCCTCCTCAAAAACAGCTATAATGTTATCATAAATCACGTCTCAAAAATAGCTATAATGTTATCACAAACCACCGTCCCAAATAATAGTTATAATGTTATCACAAATAACCGTCTCAGATAACAGCAATAATCTTATTACCAATAACCGTCTCAAAAACAGCTATAATGTTACCCCATAAATCATCGTCTCAGATAAGTGCTATAATGTAATTACTAATCACTCTCTCAGATAACAGCTATAATGCTATTACAAATCACCGTCCCAAATAACAGTTATAATGTTATCACAAATAATCGTCTCAGATAACAGCTATAATCTTATCACCGTCTTAAAACAGGTATAATGTTATCATAAATCACCATCTCCGATAACCGCTGTAATGTAATTACTAATCACCGTCTCAAATAACAGTAACAATGTTAACAAAAATAACCGTCTCAGATAACAGATATAATGTAATTACTAATCACTGTCTAAGATAACAGCTATAATGATACTCCAGATCTCCTTCGAAGATAACATTTTTAACTCAAACCTCAACTCAAAGTAAAAAACTGGTTTAATCTTCCTCCGCACGGTTAACGTGTTTAATGGAATGAAAATAATCCCTGAACTATTTAGAAGGAAATAAAAGAATGCAAATTATGACTTCATTTGAAATAAAGATAGTTCGGTAAAAGATTCGGAGCAGTGGTAATAAGTGTCATTACAAAAAGCCGTCACTGTACACTGAGATCATATCATTACATATTACCGTCACTGTACGATGATCATGTCATTACAGGTTACAGAGTTATTCACTGTACAGTGATCTTTTCATTACAGATTACAGTAATTGTAAAGTGACCAAGTCATTACATATTACCGTCACTTTACGATGATCTTGTCATTACAGATTATCTTCACTGTACATTGATCGTGTCATTACAGATTACCATTAATGTACAGTGTCCAAGTCATTACAGATTACCGTCAATGTACAGTGACCAAGTCATTGCATATTACCGTCACTTTACGATGATCTTGTCATTACAGATTATCTTCACTGTACATTGATCGTGTCATTACAGATTACCGTCAATGTACAGTGACCAAGTCATAACATATCATATTCCCTGTACAGTGACCGATTCATTTCAGATTTCCGTAACTGTTCTGTGACCAAGTCATTACAGGTTATCTTCTTTGTACAGTGACCGATACATTACAGTTCAATGACCAAGTCATTACATATTTCCTATCTGTACAGTGACCAAGTCATTACATATTACCGCCAATGTGCAGTGACCAGGTCATTAAAGATTACCGTCAATTTACAGTGACCAAGTCATTACATATTATCTTCCGTGTGCAGTGACCAAGTCATTACAGATTTCCGTAATGACACAGTGACCAAGTCATTACATATTTTATTCCATGTACAGTGACCAATTCATTTCAGATTTCCGTAACTGTACAGTGACCAAGTCATTACAGATTATCTTCCTTATACAGTGACAGATTCATTACAGATTATTTTCCCAGTTCAGCGACCTAGTCATAACAGATTTCCGTATCTGTACAATGACCAAGTCATTACAGATTATCTTCCTTATACAGTGACCAAGTCATTACAGATTATCTTCCCTGTTCAGTGACCAAGTCATTACAGATTATCTTCCCTGTTCAGTGACCAAGTCATTACAGATTTCCGTATCTGTACAATGACCAAGTCATTACATATTACCGTCACTGTCCAGTGATCATGTCATTACAGATTATCTTCCCTGTACAGTGACCAAGTCATTACAGATTACCGTCACTATCCAGAGATCATGTCATTACAGATTATCTTTCCTGTACAGTGACCAAGTCATTACATATTACCGTCACTATTCAGAGATCATGTCATTACAGATTATCTTCCCTGTACAGTGACCAAGTCATTACAGATTACCGTCACTGTCCAGAGATCATTTCATTACAGATTATCTTTCCTGTACAGTGACCAAGTCATTACATATTACCGTCACTATTCAGAGATCATATCATTACAGAATATCTTCCATGTACAGTGACCAAGTCATTTCAGATTTCCGTCACTGTACAGTGATTATGTTATTTCAGATTTCCGTCACTGTACAGTGATTATGTTATTTCAGTTTTTCGTCACTGTGCAATGGTCTTTTCATTACAAATAACGGTCACTGTACAGTTATCATGTCATTTTACAAATTGCCGTAACTGAACAGTGATCATGTCATTCAGTTACAGTATCATGTCATAACAAATTATTGTCACTGTTCGGTGATCATGTCATAACAAATTACTGTCACTGTACGGTGATCATGCCATTACAAATTACTGTCACTGTACGGTGAGCATGTCGTTACAAATTACTGTCACTGTACGGTGATCATGTCGTTTCAAATTACTGTCACTGTACGGTGATCATGTCGTTACAAATTACTGTCACTGTACGGTGATCATGTCATGACAAATTACTGTCACTGTACGGTGATCATGTCGTTGAAAATTACTGTCACTGTACGGTGATCATGCCGTTACAAATTACTGTCACTGTACGGTGATCATACCATTACAAATTACTGTCACTGTACGGTGATCATGCCGTTACAAATTACTGCCACTGTACGGTGATCATGTCGTTACAAATTACTGTCACTGTACGGAGATCATGTCGTTACAAATTACTGTCACTGTACGGTGATCATGTCGTTACAAATTACTGTCACTGTACGGTGATCATGTCGTTACAAAATACTGTCACTGTACAGTGACCAGCCAATTACAAATTACTGTAAGAAAGAACCGTTATGATATGATTTTTTTTTAATAAAGAATGGTGTTTATTCTTAGTTAGGAATAAAAACTTTGCTAACAAACAAAAAATATTAAAATAATCAGTATTGATTTATTTTCTCTAAGGATGACGTAAGAAGATTTGATATGATGACGTAGCAATAGTTGTATTACAGAAGATTTATTGATTAATTGATACATTCTAGCCTAAACGTAATAGTGTTTTACTTAGCTTAACAAATGCAGTCTCCTGTGGAATGATAAATTAAAATTCAACCATTACCAATTTACAAAGTGATGATGAAATGTGAATTTTAATTAAAATGAGAATAGTTATAAATTAGTGCAAACGATTTGTCATTCATTCTTATTTTAAAAAGTCTTTAAACTTTTATATAGCTGCTTTCAAAGGTTTTTAAATTTAGCTTTAACGGTGATTAAATTCTCATCAAAATGACTAGCGGAAACAGCAAGTAAGTTAAAGAATATTTTTTTAATGCATTTCCCTTTTGTCTTTCTTAATATAAATCACTTTACCACATTGATTTATGCATTACAATGGAACAAGCCCACTCTTAAACAAGTGATAACATCTCTGCATTGATGTTGAAATTTATTTTTCATTTTTACAGTACGAATTTAAACATAAGATATATTATGTCATGTGTTGTACACATGAATGATTTTTCAAATGACTCTGTCATTATTTCTTGACTAGGAAAGAGTTATATTTGAAACCACATATAGGGCATGGCTATGGTAACTGGAATAAACACAAAGTGTATATTAAACAGACACACTACCGACATTTTGTTTATATCAAGCATTTGTTAGACAATTTTTTGTATATAAAACATTACACACTTCAGACAATTTTTATCCATACATGTAACACGATTACCGCGCTCAAGTTTACAATTTTCCAACTTTAAAAGGGGCATAACTCTAGAACGGTAAATGACTCATTGCCAAAGTTCGAACTCTGTCTTCGAGTTTTGGTTCTTAGGATTGTGTATGAGTTTCATAAAACTTTTGTTTTAGTGCGGAAACGAAAATGGAACGGACGGAACTCCGAAGGACGGTCAATTGTAAGACTTAATGCCCCCATTGACTACGACGGGAACATAAAAAAACTTTTTTTATGCTGGTTTTTATTGGTGGGGAGGGGTTAAACTTAAAGTTCCTTGTTTGATGAAAATAGAAGATAAGGTTAATAAAATATCAACTCAATGACATAAATAACACAAACACATCTACATATATATGTCGAGTTCTGAATCGTCCCGAGTCGAAAAAAGTTGAATGTAAGTTTCATTATTTGTAAACTTTGTGTTGAGCTATATAGATAATTTCCTGTCAAGTTTGGAGACTATGTTCTATCCCATAGAACTGTTTATCAAACAAACTACAAATATAGCTAGGTGTGCTTGATATATTGAGTTTCATGTCATAACTGACTCGAAGGGTTGGTTAAGTTTGCAACAAAGGAGATAGCATTTTCAAATTTAAAAAATTCCATTATTGTACCTGCATGTGAAATAAACATTTCCATTTTCCAAAACTAGTACGTGTTACTTGTCAATTGTTGATAAGGAAAAAATCACTAAACCAAAGATTCTTAAAGGCGAAGTTGTCATCTCTTCGTAGATTTACAGGCGTCATCATGCCTAGGTTAACCTATACAGAATATTTGTCACAGATGACCACATATATGATACATCTATTGCCATGATATATGGGATATATACTGTCTCCCTTTCTGACGCACATGAGTCTCCCTATCTCTGTTTATGATTCATAAATTAATTATAATTATGACAAACGATAGTTGACATTTGTCAATTTGGTTGCGGTTGTGGAATATAATCTCCGTAATGTGAGCTAGGTTATTTGTTTCTATTAAAACATAAAACACAAATTGATAAATTAAAGGGATTTTGAATTAACCAAGATCACAAACTTCGTATAATCGTTAACATTAAAGTGTAGGAAAGTATGATTTCTACCTCAAAGAAGAAGTACATTGAGCTTGATTTAATAATTGTGATCATGATTTCTACATCAACAGATGAAGTATATTGACTTTGCTTTCAGTAACTGCGATCATGAATCTTACACCAGCTGAAGTACTCTGAGCTTGCTTTCAGTAACTGCGATCATGAATCTTACACAAAGTTGAAACAGATGAAGTACTCCGAGCTTGCTTTCAGTAACTGCGATCGTGATTTCTTCACCAAGAAATGAAGTAATTGAGCTTGCATTCAGTAAGTTACTAAGTTACTTACAAAACGATATTTTGACATTTGTTCCATCGACTGTAAGTTCCCATCCTGTCGTAATTTTGGCAACGCCGTCTGATCCTATATATCCAGCTTTCCTACAAGTAAAAAACAACACTGTTTCTTAACATACATATATTATAAAAATGTATATAATTCCAGTAGTGTTCTTTGATATACTTTCATTAGTTTAGCTCCAAACCATAACGTTGAAACCCATAATAGAAAAGGTTTTTAATACAATGTAATATTAAAATAATATTGTATCACAGTTGCTACTCTAAGTCTAACTCAGTGATTCCAACTATCAGGTGCTTTAGAATTCCTTTTTACATTTTTACATATGTGTTTTTTTTCTCGAAAATATATCTTCCCATCATACAGGGCATGTGCTTCATCAAAATCCGAAAAACTAAATGGCCTAAACAGAACAGACAAAAAATCTACAAATGTCAGTAGGGTCACTTATTCAAATATATAATATAAAAGTGACTGTGTCTCTTTGGAGTATTTATTGGTATCGTTAGCCAAATGTGACGCATTAGCATTTAATGAAAACACACTTTGTACAATTTGAATACACTGAACTTGATTCAGAAATAAGCAAAACTAGTGCTCATGTTTGTCTCCTTTAAGACAGATGACGAGACATAGTAGTCAAACATGCAATCGAAAATCCATGCATACGATCGAGACGAAAAAAAGTGTCTTATGCTTATTGTAAGAAAAAAAAATATTTTCGGGGATGTTATCATTTCAGTTACGCGTTTGGTTTTATATATTTTGATATTTACCTTCAAAACAAAAGTGCCTCTTTTTACTTGTTATTTTTAATTTCTATGACCTATCGTGCATACATGATGTTAAATAAGGTATTCTTATTAAACATTTTAATCCTGATATCTATGACGAGTTTACTTATACATGCAAATGGCGTACTTGTTTTCATTAATCAAAGTAGGATTTCATTACCAACAAAAAGCATATATATACTGTTAAAGTGAATACACAATGTGTAGCAACATTACAGTATATTATCCGTTTGTCATGAATCAGTATAAAATCCATTTAAAATATATAATTAATTGATTTCTGGGTGTTAATAATAAAATCGGTTTATATCTTGCTTCACTGTTGCAGGATAATAGAATTCAGCTGATCCAGGAGCTGATATAATAATGTACAATCAAAGATCAAACAGATTTTTTTTATAATTAAAAGGTAATATTTGACCCTGACATATTTGACAGAGGGCGAAGTTTGAGGATTATCGCCACAACATGTATAACTGCGTGTTACAAGTCCGACGTTTCTTTGATGTCAATGGTATCCGGTGTGGGAACAGCTAACACTGCATATGCAGAGAAATCCAGGTTGTCAATTACTCATTAATATCGGTTTCATTATTTCCTGGATGTATTGATTGACATTATTTTCTCTCCCTTTACAAGATTAAATGCATGATAAAACAGCCTTCAAGCGATTAAATAGCTGTTCTAAATTTCATGGACTATTGAAAAACAGCGATACGTCTTCAAAGAGATCTAAAATTGTTTAGAAACGTTGACAACGATATTCATGCATATTCCGGGATATTTTGATAATACTGAGCTCCCTCTTATTTGTTATATTTACAAGAAATCTACCCGGAAATTTGTGTTTAATTATAGCCAATTGTGTAAAGATGTTAATATCACTGAAAATACACCTACTTCATGTAATTGCAGTAATTCCGAATACATTTATGGACCCATTTCCCATGTTATAACAGGAGATCTTAACATCGTTCAAGACCGAGAGTTAAAATCATTCCTCAGTAAAGGACCTAAATATCGTCCCCCGTCAATTATTAATTGGAATGAGTGTCGTAATATCATCTACGACTCACTCCATACTTACTGTTTGAAATGGATAAAACGGGAAAAAGCTGACAAAAAATCTTTGGACTCTTTTTTTAATTCAGTAATGAACATAGTTGATATACGTATTCAACATTTTAAAGAACATTTTACTCTTAACAATAACCACAATAAACCTATTTCTCGTATCAAACATAAACTAAAAGAACTAGCCAAGGAATTTGTTTTTGTCCCGGCCGATAAAGCTGCTAATAATATTATTATTGTTTGACGTAAATTTTACATTGAGGTTCTGAAAAAAGAAATCACCAATTCACCAACATTCCAACTGACTCCATTTTCAGAAAACGACATCTGTAACAAACATAAACTTTTAGCTACCGCTTTACAAGCAGAACCAAATACAATGAAAGTCCCAACTATGTATTGGCTTCCGAAGCTACACAAAACACCTTACCAATATAGAGTCATTTCGTCTTCAAGCCATTGTTCCACTACTAAATTGTCTATTCTTCTTACCAGTACACTTGGTACAATCAAAAACCTGATAATAAATTGTTCAAATAAGGCCTTCGAAAATAGTGGAATTAATTACTTTTGGAGTGTCAAGAACTCGTTGGAAGTACTTGATAAATTACATGCATATATTGGTGATTTTGAATCTGTTCAAAGTTTTGATTTTTCTACCCTATATACCACATTGCCTCACATTCTCATTAAGAAAAAATTCACACACATAATTAAATGGGCATTTAAAAAGTCAGAATGTGAATATATATGTTCAAACTCTTTTAGGTCATTTTTTAGTAGCAATAAACAAAAAAACTATGTCAATTGGACATGCTTTGATACTATATATGCCCTTGAATTTTTACTAGATAACATTTTTGTTCGCTTTGGAGATTCCGTATATCGTCAGGTTATCGGAATTCCAATGGGGACTAACTGTGCACCACTTATTGCGGACCTTTTTTTGTATTGCTATGAGTTACAATTTATGACAAAAATCAGCAAAGACCCATCGAAACAACATCTGATACACAAATTTAATAATACTTTTAGATATTTGGATGATATTTTGGCTCTCAATAATAACGACTTCAGTATGTATACTAAAGAAATTTATCCTGTTGAACTTACTTTAAATAAAGCTAATACTAACAATGACCACTGCCCTTTCCTCGATCTTGATATCTATATCATTAATGGAAAGCTTAATACTAAAATATATGATAAAAGAGATGATTTTTCATTTCCTATCGTAAATTATCCATTTTTAGATGGTGACGTTCCCTTGTCACCATCTTACGGTGTTTATATATCTCAACGTGTACGATTCGCTCGTGTATGTAACAATGTTTTAGATTTTAACGAGAGAAATTTATGTATTACTGAAAAATTATTACACCAGGGTTTTCGATATCACAAACTAGTCAAAACATTTACTAAATTTTATCATCGGTATAAGGACATCATTCGTAAATATAGCTCAACATGCAGACTTCTTATACGTTCAGGTATTTCACATCTAATTTTTTATGGAAATATTCTTTATAAAGCACAAAAATGTCAGTATTCACCTCTGAAGCTAACAAAACCTTCAAATAGACTTATTAAGAAGGGATATAGTTACGATACTGTTGTCAGGTCATTAAAGATTGCATATTTTGGCGTTAATATTGATTCACTTATAGGGTCTTTGCATCGGCACTAAACACATTTATTTTAAAACCAGTTGTTGGCATGACACGGGTTATGTTCTTCTCATATATGTTATGATGGTATGATACTAAACCCCTAACGGGAAGGATTGTGCCTGATATTCATATGATGAAGACATAATCTTTCAATCAGTTTAATTGAAGTCTGGAGCTGGCATGTCAGTTAACTGCTAGTAGTCTGTTGTTATTTATGTATTATTGTCATTTTGTTTATTTTCTTTGGTTACATCTTCTGACATCAGACTCGGACTTCTCTTGAACTGAATTTTAATGTGCGTATTGTTATGCGTTTACTTTTCTACATTGGCTAGAGGTATAGGGGGAGGGTTGAGATCTCATAAACATGTTTAACCCCGCCGCATTTTTGCGCCTGTCCCAAGTCAGGAGCCTCTAGCCTTTGTTAGTCTTGTATTATTTTTAATTTTAGTTTCTTGTGTACAATTTGGAGTTTAGTATGGCGTTCATTATCACTGAACTAGTATATATATTTGTTTAGGGGCCAGCTGAAGGACGCCTCCGGGTGCGGGAATTTCTCGCTGCATTGAAGACCTGTTGGTGACCTTCTGCTGTTGTCTGTTTTATGGTCGGGTTGTTGTCTCTTTGACACATTCCCCATTTCCATTCTCAATTTTATGTATATATATATATTTTTTTAATGATCTAACAAATTGAAAAATGTGTAAATTGCACACACATACACAGATGCTGGCTAAGTATAGGCAACTGAAGTGAAAGATCTGATGCTTAATAAGTTGAAAATCGTTTGCATCAGTCTAAAACCAATTGTTTATTTGATACCTTTCTTCTATGGATGTAGCATAAAAAGTAAAATCACAAAAATAAAGAACTCCGAGGAAAATTCAAAAAGGAAAGTCCCTTATCAAATGGTAAAATCAAAAGTTCAAACACATCAAACGAATGGATAACAACTGTCATATTCCTGACTTGGTACAGGCATTTTCTTATGTAGAAAATGGTGGATTGAACCTGGTTTTAAAGCTAGCTAAACATCTCACTTGTATGACAGTCGCATCAAATTCCACTGATTATATTGACAATGATGTGTGAACAAAACAAACAAAAACAATAGGTAAAAATGTCACAAATAGCATTTGATTTAATAAAGTCAAAACGTGATGAGTAAAATGCACAATTAATGGCCATCTAAGTTCTATGACGATGAGCAGAGCACACAATTGATGGGCATCTAAGTTCTATGACGATGAGCAGAGCACACAATTGATGGGCATCTTAGTTCTATGGTGATGAGCAGAGCACACAATTGATGGCCATCTAAGTTCTATGACGATGAGCAGAGCACACCATAAATGGCCATCTAAGTTTTATGGTGATGAGCAGAGCACACACTTGATGGCCATCTAAGTTCTATGACGATGAGCAGAGCACACAATTAATGGCCATCTAAGTTCTATGACGATGAGCAGAGCACACAATTGATGGGCATCCAAGTTCTATGACGATGAGCTGAGCACACAATTGATGGGCATCTTAGTTCTA